GGGGTGTGCTGCTGTGCAGCTGCAGCAGGGGGGCTGCTGCTGATAGTGCTGCTGCTGCTGCTGCTGCTGCTGCTGCTGTGTCGCGTGTTGCAGCGTGGTGGTCTGTGGTGAATTGGGACTTCGCGAATGAGAACTTGAAGAAAGCAATGCAGGGAAGCGACTAGCTGTCGAGACACCCGACGGCGCAGCGCGTGGCTGCAAGCAGCAGCAGCAGCAGCAGCAGCAACAGCAACAGCGCAGCAGCAACGGCAGCGCAGCGCAGCAGCAGCAGCAGCAACAGCAACAGCGCAGCAGCAACGGCAGCGCAGCGCAGCAGCAGCAGCAGCGACAGCGCAGCGGCGACAGCGCAGCAGCAACAGCAGCAACAGCGCAGCAGCAGAGACAGCAGCAGCGGGAAGACAGCGAGGTGTTAAGGCGAACAGCTGTCGCTGCTGCAGCAGCTGCGGAACATCTACTGCAGGTTTTGAACAAGAAAAACTTAATCTTTGTAGTGCAGCTTCCGTTTTCGTTTCTGCTGCCGGGAGGTGTCGAGACACCCGAGAAGTGCCGAGACACCCGAGAGGTGCCGAGACACCCGAGAGGTGCCGAGACACCCGAAACTTGTGTAGAGAGCAGTTCCACTACGGGAAAGTGAAATAATAGTTCTTTTTTTGGATTTAAATGAATAGTTTGAATTAAATAAAGTAAATTTAATCAAAAAGAGGAAAAGCAAACGGTGGACGAGGCCTCGGGCAAATGTTCAACTTCCGTCGCCGCCGGCAGAGTTCAGAAGTTGCGGAAAGTTGCATTAATTTGCATTAAAATTGGAATAAATTGGAATTAATTGGAATTAAATTGCAATTTATTATTATTTCCGAATTTAGAAAGAAACAAATCCTTCCAAAGGCGCAGATCGGAGGCCTCGGGCCGCCGTCGAAGCGCGGGCCAACGCTGGGGTGTACGTACACCGCACCCACGAGCCAGCTGAAATAATAGTTCTTTTTTTGGATTTAAATGAATAGTTTGAATTAAATAAAGTAAATTTAATCAAAAAGAGGAAAAGCAAACGGTGGACGAGGCCTCGGGCAAATGTTCAACTTCCGTCGCCGCCGGCAGAGTTCAGAAGTTGCGGAAAGTTGCATTAATTTGCATTAAAATTGGAATAAATTGGAATTAATTGGAATTAAATTGCAATTTATTATTATTTCCGAATTTAGAAAGAAACAAATCCTTCCAAAGGCGCAGATCGGAGGCCTCGGGCCGCCGTCGAAGCGCGGGCCAACGCTGGGGTGTACGTACACCGCACCCACGAGCCAGCGAAGCCGCTTCCGCCAGCAGCAAGCAGCAGCAAGCAGCAGCAGCAGCAGCAGCAGCAGCAGCGGGCTTGCATGCATGCACAGAAGCAGCAGCTTCTCCCATAATGGAGCTCTTTGCTGCTTCTTCAGTACCGCAGCCAGTAAGTCGCCCGCCGGATGTCAATTAGCTGCGGCATTCCGTGCAGAGGCCCCATCGCGCTCACTGCCACTTCCTGCACAACCCCACAGCTGCTGCTGCTGCTGCATGTGCTGCTGCTGCTGCATGTGCTGCTGCTGCTGCTGCTGCTTCAAGTGATACTGCTGCAAGTGGTGCTGCTGCCGCTACTACAAGTACTGCTGCTGCTACTACAAGTGCTGCTGCTGCTACTACAAGTGCTGCTCCTGCTACTACAAGTGCTGCTGCTGCTGCGGGAAGAGATGCTGCTGCTGCTACAACTGCTGCTGCTGCTGCAAGTGTTGCTGCTGCTGCTGCTGCTGCTGCGCTTGCTGCCACTCACTTTGTCGTGGAGGTATTTCCAGGCGACTCGTTTAATTTCGTCGGCGTCGATTGCGTTGAGGCGCATGAGGAACTCCGCAGTGGGGACGTGGCGGCCGTAGACTCTGCAAATTGGCATTTCGAGTTGAATTCAGCATTTTAGCATTTCAAAACAAAGACATTTCAGAATAAAATGCAATAAAAATGAAATTAAAACAAAAATAATTGAATTCTCACAGAATTTGCCGGCCCAAGTCTTCAGCGACGGAAGTTGTCGAGTCGAGGTGGCCGAGCAGTTGAGTCTGAGTTGCATGCAGCGCTCGGCAACCAGATTACCTTTCTAGAAAGCGAAATTTTCTCGAACAAGTGCAAAATATAAATAAATTATAAAAATTAAAGGCTTTAAAACATTAAATGAGGCAATTCTGAGCCCCAAAACCCGCACCGTCAGCTGCGCCTTTGCCCGTTCAACTTCCTCGTCGGTGACCTGCACGCAAACGGGGTGTACGTACACCTCGGGCGGAAGCGGTGACCCGGAGTTTGCAGGTCCAGATCTCGTGTCAGTGAGTATTTTTTTCGTTTTTTTTCCGCAATAATGGTGAAAATATGTAAAAGAAGTGCTTACGCTGTAGGAAAGAGCCGTGATCCCGTGCATGAGGTCCAGAACGCAGTGCTCGACGGCGACTTCGTCGCACTGCGCGTAGAAGCCGAAGAGCCCAGTGTCCCGGTAACAAGTATTGAAAGCTGAAAACATTTCTGCACATCCAGTTTGCATTTTCGTCGCGATGTTCCGCACTGTCGTGTTCGCACTCAGCTTCCCCGGCACCAGCCCCTCGTCGTGCTTTCTGTAGCTGCCGATGATCGCCTGCATCAGCATGAACGCCACCACGTCTGCACACAGCAGCAGCAGCAGCAGCAGCAGCAGCAGCAGCAGCGGAGACACGGGGGGGGAGCGAACTGAGGAATAAAGCAAATCTGAGAAGAGGTGCTACAGCAATTCTCCAGCAACACGAAAGCAGCAAAACCCCAAAGCCCTCCGAGCGCCGCCAGCCCCTGAAACCCCCAAAATTACCCAAACCCTCGGCAAACCCTAAACCCTCGCTAGCGAAACCCTAAACCCTCGCTGGCGAAGCCCCAAACCCTCACTGACGAAACCCTAAACCCTCGCTAGCGAAACCCCACACTTTCGCTGGGGGGCCCCTAAACCCTCGCTAGCGAAACCCTGCCCCTAAACCCTCGCCAGTGCGCCCTGAACCGTCGGAGGGCAAACCCCAAACCCCAAACCCCAAACCCTAAACCCTAAACCCTAAACCCTAACCTGGGGACTTCCAGGGGACGCCCTCGAAGCCGACAGCAATGTGGGCGATGGGCCCCATGTCGTCGTCCCTGTAGATGAGTTCGGAGCCGCAGAAAAAGGGTTTAGGGTCTGGAACGGAAATGGTTTGGGGTTTGGAAACTGGGAGGTTTGCAAAGGACCACTGGACCAGGTCCACCAGCCGGCGGTGGTCCACTGGTCCTGCAGCGGCCACCACCACGCGGCTGCTGCTGTAGTTCCGCGCGATGTAGTCCAGCAGGTCTTCTCTTCGCATCTTCTCCACGTTCTCAGCTGAGCCCAGGATCGTAAAGCCCAGAGGGCTGTCCCGAAACGCCTGCAGCAGCAGCAGCAGCAGCAGCAGCAGCAGCAGCAGCAGCAGCAGCAGCAGCAGCGGCAGCAGCAGCAGCGAGTTGCACTGCGAACTGAAGTGGTGGTGGCTTTTGGGCCGAAACCGATGCAGGGCAAATTGCCACTTCAACTCCATTTCAACTTGAAAATAAAAATAAACAATAAATAAATAAATAAACAAATAACAAATAATAAATAATAAATAAATAAATAAATAAAAAGTAAATAAATAAATAAATAAATAGAGAACGAGAGAGGCCGGTGGGGCGGGGCTCACGGTCATGTGGAGCCTGTCGAAGATGACTTCTTCAGTTTGCTTTTCGACTTCTTCCATTTCCCGCAAAATAACTCTTTTTTCAACTTCTAAAGCATCTTTGTCAATGGTGGAGTTCAAAAGAATGTCCGAGAGGATGTCTAGACACTGCGGAAGGTCCTTTTTGAACGCTTTCGCGTAGTACCTGCGCAGACAGCTGCTGCTGCGCACGCTGCTGCACTGCTGCAGCGCTGCTGCGCTGCTGCAGCAGCAGCAGCGCAGCTGGGTTTGCTGCTGCTGCAGCAGCAGCAGCAAACCCAGCGCCCGACGCGCCTTTTGCTGCGCAATAAACTAAACCCTAAACCCTAAACCCTAAACCCTAAACCCTCGGCCGCGGCCCCGGCGGAGGCTGCCGCCGCCCGCAGCAGCCAACTGCCGTCGCAGTCTTGTTCTAAACCTCTTGAATCTGAAATTTAGATCTCTTTAATTTAAAGTTCAAATATATTTAATTTAAAACTCAACTTACACGGTTTGTTCGCGAGAAGTGTAGGCATTCAAGTGGGCCCCCATGTTCTCGATTTCCTGCTCGAGTTGAATGCGCGAGCGCTTCTTGGTGCCCTGTGCAGAAACAGCAGCAGGCAGCCGGAAAGGCCATTTCTGGACGCGCAGCAGCGCCAAACCCACCAATATGGACAGCAAATAGCATTTAAAACGAAGATAGCAATTAAAAAACCCGAAAACCGTTCAGATTCCATGAAGATCGGCTGCGCGGGCTCGCCCGGCGCACCTTGAAGGCCATGTGCTCCAGGAAGTGAGCCGCGCCATTTGTACTCTTCCGGTCAAAACGGCTTCCGCTGTCAATCCAAACTCCTACAGTTATTGTTTCCGAAAAGGGGAGACTTTGAGAAGCCACGCGAATGCCGTTTGGCAGCTGGGTGAGCTCTGCATGCAGAAAGGCAGCAGCAAATGCAAAACGGAAACCCGTGCGATCCGGGGCTTTCCCGCCCGCAGAAGCCGCTCAAACGCAGTCTGGAGAAATAAAACTGCAAATTCAATTTATTTGAAGTTTAAAATTCGAAAAAGGATAAATAAATGCAGCCAAAAGAGCCGCGGGAACCGCAGCGGCGCGCACCTGCGCGGGGCTGGTTGAACGCAGAAAGCGGAACGGAGCTGCGCCTGTCTGCAGCAGCAGTTGGGTCGCTGCTGCCGATAGACACGGGAGCCTTTTTAGTGCTGGCAGCAGCAAGATTGGTGAAGCAGCATTTGCTGCTCCTGAGGCTCAAGTTTGCATACCGCAGCGCAGCAGCAACCGCCCCCCTGCAGGCGCTGCCAACGTGACGCGAGGCCGCAGCTGTGGCGGCGTGCATTGTGTGCAAAGAGAAGCTGCTGCTGCTGCTGCTGCTGCTGGACTTGGTTTGTTTCTGCTGCAGCAGAGGCCCGGAAGATCCCGCGCATGCAACGGCGGAGGAATTCACTTCTGCGGCCTCTGCAGGCGGCCCAAAGCCCGCTGGCGGGAAAAAGAATTAAATTATAAAACGCAAAAATGAAACGAAACGCAACTTCAGTGCCTACACCCCAACTGCCTTCCGCTGCTGCAGCAGCAGCAGCAGCCGGACAGCCCCGCTGCAGCAGCAGCAGCCGCTGCCGCTGCTCTCAGCCTTTTCACGCTCACAGGGCTTTAAAGCATATTAAACAAACAAAAATTAAAATAAATAACAAACTTTATTCCTTTTAAATCCTTGGAATCTACTTTTAATCAGAATCCAAGCACACCAGCGGGATAAACGCGAAACAAACTCTAGCTGTCGAGCTCGCGGTGTTTGCCGTTTGCTGCAGCAGACAAAACCAGTACTCCCTCCCAATGAATTGTAATTAATTTTTATTTTTTAAATTTGTTTTTCCTTTTTATTTCCCCTTTAATATTTGTTTATGCAGAAGGCTTAAGAACATTTCCAAGAACGTCTTCTCCGCAGCAGCCTCTCTTGCCGCATTCATATTCAACAGATGTGCATTTGTTCAAAACGGAAATGCAAAAGTTTTCTTGAATTATCCTTTTTCCTTTATTGTTTTATTTTTTCCTGAAAGTATCTGCTGAATTAGAAACAGAGAAGACTGTCAAATCAGCTGCTACAGTTTAAGCCGCACTGCTGCAGCAACAGAGTAGTTTGACAGGGAAACTGTGCAGAATTTAATTCATTTTCAGGAAAAAATGCAATAAATATTCAAATAAAACCTTTAATTTTATTTATTTACTCCAAAGAAACATTTTAATTCACGAAAAGTGGCTTTTTATACTGCTTTACATGCTCCTGCCACTGAGGGCTCCCGACCCAAGCCAGGCTGCCCCCCACATTTGTGGCCTTTAGCTGAACTATTTCAACTTAAATACATTTTCACTTCTAAATTGATTTAAAATAACACATTTCAATTAAATAAATACATTTAATTGCAAAAAAGTACCTTTTTGCATTTACAGCATGTTGGGCTTTTGCCCTTGGCTCTTTTGCTGCTGAGCAGCAGCAGCACAGCAGGTGAGAGCAGCAAGCAGCACAGAGATAAGGACTTGCCTCAGCAGCTGCTGCAGCAGCAACAGCAGCAATAATAGGAGCAGCAGCAACAGCAGCAACAACAGCAGCAGCAACAGCAACAGCAGCAACAGCAGCAGCAGCAGATGCTGCAATTTTCCTTCTTTCGTTCAAAAAACCGGAAAGGGTGAAAATTTGATTCTCTTCTTTGGGGTGTACGTACACCTCAATATGAGTCGCCCCGCTACTGCTCCATCAAAAACAAAAAAATTAAATTATTTTATTTTTCAAATTTCCATCTTTTCCTCAATTTCAAATTTAAAGACTCATGGATAGCCTCAAGGTGCTCTGTGGGGCTCCATAAAAATTCTCCAGGGGGCCCCCCGTGGGCCCCTAAGGGGCCCTGGGGGCCCCCAAGGGGCCCCTGGAGGCGTTTGTGTGGCCCCAGAGGAGGCCCCACGGGGGCCCCCTGGGGGCCCCCGGGGGCCCCCTGGGGGCCCCCGAGGGAGTTCCGGCAATAGAGGCCCCACAAGGAGCTTTAGGGGCCCCCATGTCCTTCAGAACCTTCGAGGGGCCCCAAAAGCTTCGAAAGAGGTTCAAAAAGGACTCAAATGGCATTATTTTGAGCAGCAGGGGACCCCCAGGGGCCCCTAAGGGGGCCCCCAAGGGGGCCCCCAAGTGGGCCCCCAAGGGGGCCCCCTGTGGGGCCTCTTGGGGGCTCCCATGGGGGCCCCCAGGGGGCCCCCCAAGAGGCACGAAAGAGTTGCCGTGGGCTAAAACTGAAAAGCAACTTTGTCTCAAAACTCTTTTGCCTTTCAAGCCATTCCTTTTGTATAGGGGAAATTAAGAGAAAAGAAAATCCTTTTTGTCTTTGTTGGGGCTTTTAATTGGGAAATAAACACTTGAAAACCCTTAAAAGCGCATGCAGACACAATGCATGCATGCATGCATGCATGCATGCGTGCATGCGTGCATGCATGCATGCATGCAATTTCCGGTGTACGTACACCGGTGGTTTTATATTGAGGAGTACAAAGGCATTTGAGAGCGCTTAGGCGTTTTTAAAAATGCAGAAATATGAATTTAAATGGGAAAATAAAAGGAATTATTGTCCATTTTGGTGCATTTTGAATGATAAAATGCTCCTCTTTTTCATTTATTTGTCAAATTAATCCTCCAGAATCTAATTATTAAACAAATAGAAAATTCAAGTTTTTAATTTTTGAAAATTGACTTCGAATGGCTGCATGCGCTTTTGCACTGCACGGAAATTCGTGCAAAGACAAATGCATGCAAGTGGCTCTTCAAACTTTGTTTGTAAAGGCATGTTTAGATTTAGAATTTAGAAATTAATAAACAAAGAAAAATACATTTAAATAAAATGTTTAATGCAAATAAATAAATACATTCCGAATAATAAATGGCACTTTTTGTTTTAATTCAAACTTTGCATTCCTTGCACTCGGGCCAATTCGAGTTTGCAGAAAAATGCAAAAAGCGAAAATGGGATTTTCGCGTTTGCAAACTTTCCAAATTTGAAAAGACCACTGGACCATCTGCGAGGTTTTGTGCGGGGTGTGCGGTGGTCACTTTTATTTTTAAAAAAAAGAAATAACTTTTTGTAACAAACAAACAAAGAAAGGGCCCCTGAGCTGCTGCTCTTTGCGGGATAAATGAATATTTAAAAGTCTAGAAAGGCCTTTTTAGCATTGGTTTTGACTTGGCGGCGCTGCGGCGCTTTTTTCCAGCTCGAAAACCCTAAACCCGAACCCTAAACCCCAAACCCTAAACCCTAAACCCTAAACCCTAAACCCTCAGAGGCGTCAGCGCCGCGCCCGCAGCCTCAAACCCCAAACTTCTCTTGTCTAAATGTTTACTTCTGCAAAATGCTGAATTATAGTAATAAATTGAAAAGGGGAAAGAGTAAAGAAGCAGCAACGCAAGGGAGGCGGTCTCGGGCGTTGCTGGCCCCAGGTGGAGAACGATGCCGCAGGTCCCGTCTGGCCGCTGCATGCGTGGAAATTTTGCGAAAATAAATGAATTAAATGGAATTAAAATGAAAAATTGAATTAAATGAGACTTTAAACGCCAAAAATAAACGGAAGGAAACTGATCAGCCGTTGCTGCCCAGTGGTCTTGCAGTCGCCACGTGAGCTGTACGTACACCTGAACACCACCACCGTTTTTCCCCTTTTCTTTTCTAATTTTTCTTCATTTTCTTTTCTTTCGCTTTTCCTTTGCCTCCAGGGGGCCCCTGCTGCTCCCGGCTGCCCCAGGGCCCCGCGCTGCAGGGAAATCAAACCCTAGATCCAGTAGCAGCACAAGTCCGGGAGCAGCAGCAGCAGCAGCAGCAGCGCAGCAGCAGCAGCAGCAGCAAAGGCAATTCTGAACTTCCCGTTGCGCTTCCGCGTCGCCGGGAGCTGCTGCAGCTGGCTTTCAGGTGTACGTACACCCCAAATACCCCGTACAAACCCTCAACGTCTCATGGAAAGGCTGACAATCATTTTCTTTTCTTTTCCTTTCCTTTGTAGCGCAGCCGCTAGCCGCCCCTAGCCAGCCCCCCGCAAGGCCCAGGCCGAGCGCAGGCCCTGGGGTTTAGGGTTTAGGGTTTAGGGTTTAGGGTTTAGGGTTTGGGGTTTGAAGCTGGAGCCCAAAGCTTCGACTCAAAATGGCGGCGATATTTTCCAAGGTGCGTTTCCGTCTAGCCCTATGCCTGCTGCTCCCTGTTCTAGTTCAGGGTTTAGGGCCTAGGGTTTAGGGTTTAGGGTTTAGGGTTTAGGGTTTAGGGTTTGTGCATGCGCGCGGCTGAACAGTACGGGGAGCTGGTGAACTTCATCATTCGGCCCCCGAGAGATAATTACAAAGAAGAAGAGTTGGGCCCCCCCCTCTTCACTATGGCGGGAAGGCTGTACAAACGCACAGGCAAGCCTAGGGTTTAGGGTTTAGGGTTTAGGGTTTAGGGTTTAGGGTTTAGGGTTTGGTGTTGTGGGTTAGGGTTTAGGGTTTAGGCTGCGCACTGTAGGAAACATGGCATATACAGGCGGACACCGGAACAGATGACTCAAAAGGCTGGCCAGCGGCTGGGGCTTAGGGTTAAGGGTTTAGTGTTTAGTGTTTAGGGTTTAGGGTTTAGGGTTTAGGGTTTAGGGTTTTTGTGGGGTTTGTCACAGACCTGGAATTAGTCAACAGAAGGAACATGCGGCTTCAGTGCAGCCACTTCGAGCCTGTCTTATCGTATGTGAAGCAGCCCTTTC